GGAGTGCGCTATTGAAAAAGGTCTGACAAATACCAGTAGCATCCTGGTCTGGCAGTGGATCGGGGGTGGTGGGCTACTGGGATGAATACACTTTTTTGTCTTTATTTCTTCACAGGATATTTTCTGAGCTTAACAGCACAGAAATGCACCTTCTTATTGTCAGGGGGATAAACCTACCAGCTCCGCCAGGTATGTACTCGAAAGGGCATGTGGACTTTTTCTTCCGAGTAGGTAAGGAAGGTAGTGGGGAATGAGATTTTTTTCTACCTTGAGGGCCACTTCAGGAGTCCAGACCTTTGTAGCCAGCATTCACTGAAACAAAATAACCAGGTTTCAGGCTCAAGCCCCCAAAAAATCTTTAAACAGTATTTAAAAAAATCAAAGAAACAAAAAACCTGAGAAGAATAAAGAGAATCTGGGTTCCATCTTGACAGAGGGAAGAACTTTGAATTGTCCTGGGTTCAGTCATAACTGGGTGATTGTTTACTCTATCTCCTGTTTTGTTAGGAGTGCCTGCCTGAACTCTCCACCACCTGAATGTGTAGTGACCCTTCAGCAGACAGGAGTCGCTCCTGCCAATGTTACTGCTTTTAGTCTTTTGTTTCTGGGAGCTTGTAAACTGCCTGAGCTAGATTGTCTCAGGACTAACAGCAGCATTAAGAAAAGTAGATGTTTTCCTCTGGATGCCAGTTTTCTATGGATTTTGGTTTGATGGATGGGTTTTTCAGTTGTCAAGAGACAGGTCATGAGTCCTACTCAAAATCAGTTAGGTGCTCTTGAAAATCCTGCTCAGCATTACAGGTGCAATGAAAATGTCTGGATTGGCTGCTTTTTGTCTCATTCAGGTGTATCACCAAGAGATTTGGATGCATTTGTGAAGTTTGAATTTCAGTACCCGAGTGCGGTGAGTATTTGTCTGGCTCTTCTGTTCCTCAGCCTGTGACCGTTGCCACTGTATTAGCTTGTGAGGGCTTCAAGGAGAAAGTGTAGGTACTCTTCTCGAAAGGGAAAACACTTCTAGACACACTGCCTGAATTTAGTTTTAAAACTTTTTCTGAGAAACAGAACTGCTGAATCTGTTTGCTGGAGATTGGGGCTTTGCTGCACCTTTCTCTTGATGTTCCCCACACCTTACACTTAGCGGCGCGGTGTCTGCTTCAGGCTTGCCTGTTCTCTGGCTGGCTGACCACCAGCGTTCACAGTGCTAAGCCGTGCCCACCGTCCCCCCTGAAGACACCACCCAGACTGTTACCAGTGTTTGCAAATCTGTAACCTCAACAGGGGCACGCAAAGCTGTCGCTAGGGGAGAGGGGCCACCTTAGGTGTGATCTCCCTCTAAGTCCCGTTCCTTTAAGAAAACAAGCTTTTAAAGGCGTTGCGTTTGGACATCTCTTATAATCATAGAAACGGATTGAAAAGGTTAATCTTTGTTGTCAAATAAATGCACGTGACTCCTGGTGATTTAATTAGGAAATATATATGTGCATATCTGGAGAAAGGACTTAGGCCATACAAGCTTCTTGACCTTACTAATTCATACTTATGTGTATGTGCATGTATATATGTGCGTATATATGTGTATGTATATAAAAAAATACGTACACATGTATATATTCCTCCTTTCCTTGAAAATCCCCGGTGTCATCCTGTTCCCCTTGCCATTAAAAGCAGTCTCTGGTCTGAAAAATGCTGAAACCATTGAGCTAGAAGGGCTCCTAAGGAGGGCTGTCTAGTCTTACTGTCAGGAGAAGTGCTGGGGCTTCTGCTGCTTTCTCTGTAGGGCAAAAGCAATGTTTGCTCTCACAGAACTAATTCTTGGCCCTGTCAGAGTGCAGAGCCTAGATTTTTACCTCCTAATAAATTTTGCAGCAATTCCACTAAAAGAAGTTCAGTTACCTGTGGGAAAATGGTGATGGTCAGATCAGGTTTGTGTTTAGGTCCGAGTTACGTGAGGTCTTAATGGAGGGGTCCCCCCATTTGGGCGGCTGAAAACAGAACTGGTCTGGACGAATAGTTTTCTGGGGAGTAAGTAAGAATCAGCATAGTTGCTTTTAATCTGTTTTTCTTTGTTTTAAAACAAGCCTGATCTCCACTGCTTAGCCAACAGTAAAATACACCACCTTTCTCCTTCATAGCTGAAATCAGTTTTGCAAAGTAGCTGCAATAATTAGGTCACGTTGTCCTTGTTCAGTCCCCAGAGATTTAGTTTGTACTCCGCTTTAGGTTAGAAGTTAATTCATTTTGGTGGCAGATTGATTGTCGGGCAAAATAATAGTAGGACAATTCCCTGAATGATTTGTGATGAATTCCTTGTGTAGATTATTATTCCAACTAATGCAGAAGGAACAGAATTACTGTGTCGTGGAACGTGCGCGGTTTATCATGTAGTTTAACAGCCGCAGTCAGTAACTTTATGATGATTGGACTGAATTAAGTGTGACCATGTAGCTTATCTGTGGCTCTTATATTTAATGTAATGGTTTGGCTTATTCTTTTTCTAGTATTATACTGGTTACCACAATGAATTCCAAATATTTTAGTCTTGAATGTACTGTGACTACTCTTATCATTCAGATAACCCCCTAAAACCTTATGTTTCTTGTACAGGTATAAAAAAGAGCTGGTAATAAAAATGGTTACTACTCTGTATTTTGTAACAATATCTGATGGTTTTATGTAATGTGTGTCTCTTTTAATAGGAGCAACCTCAAAAGAGTAAAACGCCTGTAATTAACAATAACAGTTCTCCAGGTTAGTACTTTTTGTTGGGACAGAGGGAAAACCACTGCACCTTAGGAGAGCACAGGCTAGCCTCATACTGTGAATCAGGCCAGAGAGCCTCCCACCACCTTCTGTCTCCCTCTTTACGAAAGGGCTTGTTGGAGAGTGAAGTGCAGCCATGTTGGCAGTTTCTTCACCCTCATCCCAATACTGGTGGTAGTTACTGTGTTGGGAATTAGTGAAATCATCGAGTTGCCAGGCATGCTCCAGCTGTTGTTGTCAGCCCTGCTGGGAGATGGGCCAGATAAATAAATTTTCTTTATTAAATAAGTTAAATTATTAATTTTAGTATCTCCATGGATCAGATCTTTTTCAGTCAGATTTTGTGTTCTGTGAGATTGCGAGTTCTGTCATGATTCTTGCTAATCAGCTAACACTTCTAGACCTGACAAAGCATCATTGCACAAATAGATTGTATTTAAGATAATGTGTCGTGAAACCGACTAAAATACTTTCTTAGTACCTTTTGAAAAATAGCTGATTGTGCCTAGCCATTGAATACCAGTATTAGACTCATGCATTTTAGAATTAATCGTCTTGCACTCCAAGTTTGTTTATTGCTGTGTTATTTTTATCAATTCTTGCAGCAAGCAGCCATCTAGTATTAAAACAACTTCGAATTCAGCATCCAAATTACTAGTTGTAAGTTTACCTCAAAAGAGATACATATATTTATATATACATATATATATCTTTCGAGTTTATATCTATTTTCTGTTAAGAGTAGAAGTCCTGAAGCTCTGGTAGTGAGAGCTGTGTTCCAAGTCTTCCAGTAACTTGACCTGCACTTGCTGAGCAGCCGCTTAGCTTTAATGTTTTGGGTTCCTGTGCTGCCAGGCAGAGGTGAGCGTTGCTGGGTAGCACAGCAGAGAAGCCTTTGAACATCAGTTGCACAATGTTGTGAGACTTTCTGATTAAAAGGTATCCCGTGGCATAGCTCTTGTCATGCTCGTTAATGAAACTGGTATTAAAACAGTATTAATTACATTATCAAAACACCCCATCCCAGTCATTCCAACCTTCCTGTGCTTTTTCCTTATTTTGTACCTTTCCCTTAGCCGCAGGCACTGTCTAATTGTGAAAGACCTCCTAGATTCTCCAGTTTTGGCTCTCCAGTAACTTGCTGTCACCTCCTCATGATGACGTGGTTTTTCTGCAGTTTGGTTTCTCTCCCTGTAAAGTGGGGATGACAGAGACGAACTGTTGCACAGGGACACTGACTTGTTAATGACTGAAACGACCCCCGAGGAGGAGGTTCGTACGGATGTGAAGTGTCTTTCACAAACGGGCCAAACTGAGATAAACAGAGGTCTGAGTGGGCGCGTGTAACAGAGCACTGCACGCGGTTTGACTTTCACAGCTTGCTTTCCTTTTTCTGTATCTTGACTGTAGAATATAACCAGCTGTTTAAGTTGAATATCAACCGAAATCACAGAGGTTTCCGACGAGCAATTCGGTCCAAAGGAATTAAATTCGAAGTATTTCATAAAGGGTAAGTCCACAGTTTGCTCCCCCCCTCACTGCTTCTCTAGTAACAATTGAAAGGAGTGTGGTAGCTGAAATTTATGAAGCGCAGTCTTTAAGCTAGTAATGAAGAGCTGTCTAGTTCTCATGTCTGAGAACTTTCAAAGTGTGCCTGAGCTCTGTATCTTCCCCTGTGGGGGTGAAAAAAAGGCAGAAGTTCATGAAGTTGATTCGTAACTGGCAGATCAGTTGAAGATTGGTGCGCGAAGAGGAACTGACGAAAGAGACTGAGAAGGTAATGATTCACCTTCAAATTGGTTTGATTCCTACCCAATTTGGGTTTAGTCATCAGGAGTAGAAGATTTAAGTGTTATATGGGATAACTTTGTAGAATAACAAGTACAGGTGGCAGCAAGACACTACAGCAGTAAAGCAGCCGACAGATGGCAGAACTAGGGTTATGGTTTCGTACTTCTCTTTGTTCTGAGGATCTTGCAATACTTACCGAACACTGCTAGCAGACTGTTGGACTGTCTTGAGAGAGACAGACTCCCCTTGTCTCGAAGGACCAGATGATGAGACGGATGTTAACAACTGGTAACGTTCAGGGAACTCATCCTACGTCTAAGGTCGTTACTGATTTATTCAAAATGGCAGTGGCCTATATTCACTAACCCCCGTTTTGTTTGTGATCCATGACTTGGATGGGGTGCTAGATAACCTGGTTTTGTGCCATTCTTTGTTTCTCTTACTGGGACATGCAGAAACGATCCATAGGTTCTCTGAGATGGTTTTCAAGTTGTAGGTGTGTTACTTTGTGAGCTAAAGTCCCATTGTTTTTACTCCAGATCTTCCACTTACATCTCTGATGAAGCAAAAGCTGATTTTTCTTTCTTTCTCTGTCAGTCCTGACTGCTCTGATGTTCAAGGTTTCATCACCAGAGATGCTACCACTTCTGCAGAGTGTTTACATTTGCTTAAAATGTTTTTCCCTGTCTTTTGCATACCATTGTGCATACGGGGCATGTCCTGTTCTCTTACCAGCTGAACTGTTGTTGGTTTTAAAGTCTGAGCTTAAGTTCACCCATTGGGCAACACTCTCCAGTGGTTCATGAGCTGTATACCAGCTCCAGATTGTCCTTTGAAGCCTTTTTGAAGATTAGCAAAAAAAAAAAACCACGTGCAGGTTGTCTCTTTTCTGGTTCTGAGGTTTGGGGTTTTTTGTTGTTAGAACAGAAATCTAAATATATGCTTGTTTCTGGATTGGGGTGGAAGATTGGCAGTTCGCCATGGCAAATAGCCACAGGGAAGGAGACAAAGAACAAATGCCCACTGATGATCTTCCCCCGGCCTGCCATCTTCTGAGGAGAAAGGAGAGGATTAAGTGATCCAGGCTCTTTTCTAAAGACTGTCTCATCCCTGTCTGTCTTCAAGACTATAAATGAATAATACTTTCAGAAATGCTGTAGTTTTGGGGTCTCTGGTAGCTCTTTGACCATCTCCCAAGAATTATTTTCTCTCAGTGAGCAAAAGAGACTTGTTTCAGGTCGTATATATTAAACTTCAGTTTAAAAGACACTTTCAAGTAAAAACCCAGCAATGTATTTTTCCAAAGGAAAAGTCTCTCCTTAAAGCTTCTGAAGATAAAAGGAGATTTCCCCAGAGCTGTTTCGGAAGCTGTGGCCTACAGCAGGTTCACATTCTTCACTGCAAACCCCCTAGAACTGCTCAGGGATGAACCAGTCTTTATTTCTTGAATTACAAAATGGAAAAATGCTTTTAAAAAAATCAGCTAGAAAAATTGCTGATTCTCTTAGTTTGAGCAAAGCGTCCAACCTACTGCAGTACGATTATGTAATCCTTCTTCATTTTGAGGTGCTTGTGAAGTAAAGGAAGTATTCTAGCAGGTAAGCTAATAAATTCTGAGCTTTTCTAGGTGATTTTGTGAGTCTACTGTAGTCTCATCAGTGGAGAATACAGTCTCATCTTTGGAAGGCTTTCTGTCAACAAAGCTCAATAGGCATCGTGTTTGGAGGCAGCGCTACCAGCCCTCGAGACATGGTTTTTCTTTACAACAGCAATTGGTGTTGAGATGGACGAACTGACAACTAAGCAGCGATCCGAACAGCTGAGCTGGGCTGTTTCAAGTCCTTCAGCAACAGGTTTTTGGAAGAGATGGAATTCCTAACGGTGACTCAGTGCATTCAGAGTAGTAGCGGTCCTGCACTCTTTATCCCATCCAGAAGTGTCTGAGCTCGCTGCCTGTGAGCGCGCTGCAGCCTGGGCTAACAGGACCATTGTCTTCCTAGTCTGTAGGGGCTTAGGTGCTGTATGAGCCACGGCGTTCCTGATGCTGTTTCTGAACACCTAAGCCAGAAAGTGAGGTTAAAGGCTGGATGACCGGCTCCTTATCCCATGGTTGATACACACTATTTGGAGAATATAGGAATGAAGCAATCGTTGAGGCAGTGGATGTGAGGAAACAACCTTCCTGCTTTTCCAGTCAAGAGATTTTAGTCAATGGGGTTCACAGATGCTCACTTGGAACTGTGGCAGCATCAGGTCTGTGTGTTAATATACTGGTTACTGTTGCCACAGATGATGACATCATGAAGCACCATAAAACAATCTTCAGAGTTTTCATTGCATACGTCGAGTCTTGCTTGATAATATCTTGGTGTCTCCTAATGATAACAGAAGAAGGGTGGATGTTTTGGGGTTGAGTTTTTTTTGTGTATTTGTTGGTTTGCTTGCTTGGTTTTCTTCTAAGCAGAATGGCATAAAAAAGGGAAGCTTTGGAATTCTTGGCAGACTTCATGTCTAAAACATGACAGGCATGGCTGGCTGGCTTTCCTGCCTCCAGACTCTGCAGATTTTAGTTCTTGATCAAAACTTTTGGAGACTCATTCAGGGAAATACTTGGATGCAGGCAAAGAAATCCAGTGCTTTGAGCCTGAATACTTCTGTGGAATTAGTGTGTTTTAGTCTTAGCTGTTGCCTTTTGGAGGCGTGTGTCTGGATAAAGATTGCACCACCTGTCTCTGTTAAGGTAAAGGCAGATCTCTTGCTGATCAAACTGTTAAATAGAAGTGACTGTAGCAGCAAGAAGTTAAATTGTTTTCCTCGCAGGGTAAAAATGCTCTGTGTTTCGTTTCAGCAGACTAGAAATTCTAAAATGATAGTTCTTGACTGTTAAAACTTCGGTATGAATGTGAATCAAAACAATAGCTGAAATGAAATGTCTTTACTTGTTGAAATTGCTTTATCAGAATGAAACGGAATGATTCACGTGACTTTTTCCGTCTAAGTAGTGTGCCAAAACCAGCGTGTGCCTGTGAAGTGTTTGTTTTGATGCAAGATGCAACTTCCTTTGTTCTATAAAACAGCCCATTGCAGAAGATTGCTGGCTGTACTGGCTGTCCTGTTCTTCCCTGTCCTGTGCAGGGATGAGCTGTTGCCATTCCAAGTGCTAGTTCAGTTGATTATTTTTCTTCACTACTGTCCTCGTCTTTAATTTGGTTGCAAGAGAATAACTAAAAAAGAACTGTGTCTTCTCCTCGTAGTCTAGTTCACTAAGGGTTTGGCCCTTGCACCCTGGTTTGTAGGGTTCTAGTAGCATGTCTTGCCTAGCCCTCCTGGGTGCAGTGACAGTGCAAATAGTGATGCGCTCTTTGCTTGCTTTCTCTTCAATGTTCTGGAAAACCTTCTCCATTCACTTAAGGAGGATTTCTTTGAAACAGGTCCTTTTTCAGAAGTGACAAACAGGTGGGGACAGCACACTTGAAACTGGACAAGCTGGAATCGGAATGTGAAGTTAGAGAGATCATCGAGGTTTGTTTTCTGGGTGACGTGTTCTTCTAATTAGTTGTATTCGAACCCAAAGGGAAAATGAATATTCATGTTGCATAATGTAATCAGGTGGCAGGTTTGTATTGGATGAGTTTGATAAACGATGGGCTGTTCTTTGTTTTATCATCTCTTGAAGCTTGACTTAGCTGTGACAGTTCTGGTGCTGGGAACTTCTTGGGGACTCTCTTCTGCAAATTTTCTGTATCAAGGTCGTTTTCTTTGACAGGATCAGAAATTCGGGTGATCCCCAAAATTATTTGTGTTGGTAGCTAACAGATCGAGAGGTTAAGTGAAGACTGCCAGCGTGGATAGAGAGCTGCTGTAAGATGCAGTAGGAGATCACTAAGTGGAACCTTAAAAAATAAAAAAAAATAAAAAAAAATCTCTGGGGCTGCATCACAGACGTGCTCGAGGCACCGCTGCCCTGAGCGTCCTCTGAGCTGCCCGTGGCGTCCCTCTGTTTGTACCTGGGGCTTGGGGCGCAGCAGGCAGAGGTAGCGCAGGCATCGGTATCGCTGCTGCGTGGGCTGTGGGGGACCTGCTCTGCTGAGTTGTGGACCTGGGGAAGCACTTGGCTGTGACACCTCCCAGCGTTGCAGTCACCTGCGGGTGATCTCTGTCATCTTTTAGTCACAGGAAACAGAGTCGATGGTTGCCTGAGGCACTGTAGTTTGACATGATCATTTGTATGTGTGCTAACTGCTGCTCTTTCTGCGCTTCTTTCAGATTTTTGATGGCAGAAAGCCCACTGGAGGGAAACTGGAGGTAAAAGTGAGACTCAGGGAGCCCCTCAGTGGTCAAGATCTTCAAACAATTACAGAAAATTGGCTGGTCCTTGAACATTAGTTCTGCCTGAGGTATGGATACTGCGTCTAAAGATGGTCTGGCCAGAACTTGACAGGGCAACAGATAAACTCTGCCTGAATAATGTCTTTTGTTGACATTGACCCAATTACACAGCTCTGGCTTTGATCCCATTCGTCTTTATATTTGTAGTGGTGAGTTGACATGATTTCAGAAATGAGGTTACAGAATCTCAGATTCGTTTGTCTATCAAAGATGCTATTTCACAGTCACTTGAAATACTGGGAGAGCTGCTAGTATCACCTTTATTTAGAATAAGAAGATTGATGAGCCCTTTCTAGGAGGGGAGGGTGCTTTCTGTCCATCCTTACCATTACCAAAAGCCTCTCAGAGTTAGGAAGGACCCTTCTTCCCCTACCAGAAGCTGGAGCAGGGCATTGTCCCATGTCTGTTTGACTTCATCCGAAAGGGAAGCTACTGGAGATGGGCTTTCTTCTGGATACTTCAGACTTCTGGGCAGGGAGAACCACTACAGCTGAATACAGGCTACCTGAAGAACTGTGCCTGGTGCCCACTGGGCTCATCCCAAGCACAGAGGAGGAGCTGTGTGCTGCCAAAGTGGCTGCATATTAGAAGGGTGAAAAAGAGGTAGGCTTCCTCTTCTTGCCAGCCTCTATGGAAACTGCTTGGGTTGGGAGCTTGCCTCCCTTTCTCTGCTTTTTAGGTATTGCAAATTCTCCCTTCATAAAAAAAAAAAAAAAAAAAAGACAACCAAGTAAATACCAAAAATTCTGGCATCTTTTTTTAAAGGGTTTTTCTACAGAAAGTTACTAAAAGTACCAGAAGTCCATCTGCCTGTGGAATCTCCAATTCATCCTACTTTTATGTATGTCTGGTGTTTGAAAGAAATTCAGATTAGTTGGACGAAATCACCGATAACCTGAAACTTAGGTCCTCGCCTCTCCCCCAGCTTATGTTCTAACACCACGGAGGGGACAGTGGCTCGCTGGGGACAGTCAGTTCTCCCTTCGGTGCACATGCCAAGTGCCCACAGTCGCAGGGTGCTGCTGGCAGGGGTACAACTGTCTCTGTGCTCCCTCTTCTGTAGTGTATTGGGTTTTTGCATTTATAAATGGCCGTTAAGCTAATTAATATTCATCAGCTTCACAGTGACATCACCTGTTGGCCACACCTTTGCTTGCAACTTGCGTTAAGAGTTTACAGATTGCCAGGTCTTGTTTCAATACATAAATCTGAATTTGTAGCACCAAAGTACAAAGGGGCCCATTAGCCTGGTGAGTTCTTCCTCGCAGCCAGGAGGTCGGTCAGCTGCCTATGAGCTTCACAGTTGGGCTGAGGGACACATTTGGTGGCCATATCTGAAGTCACAGCTTGGCCTTGTGCCGTGACTGGCTACCTAAGCATTTTCAGTCACTACAGCTTCATAATTTTGCTCCATTGATCTTTCTAGTTGACCATCCAGAAAATTCATGTCAGCATTTTACAGATAATGTGACCTTGAGTGGGACATCTGTTAAGCACTACATCGAGTAATTTTGTTGGGTTTTGCTTGTTTGTTTTTTCCTCAGATCCGTTGGAACGTTAAAAGATGTGGGACGAACCTACGTAGAAAGATGCTGCTAGCTGCAAGCACCAAAGATGTTAAATGAGTGCACTACTGAACCTAACGTCTATTTTGGTAACAGCCATAGTGTTATTAATCACTTTAAGGCAAACACAAGGCTCTGGACATGTGCTGCTGCAGGGGATTGTTACTAGTCTACACAAAACAGACAGAGTTGCCTTAACGCGGGACTACTAATGTAGCACCAGGATGAATGTTACATGAACTATGCATAGCGGTGTGAGAAAAGTTTAGCCCCTTAAAAATTCCCTGAGGCAGTGCAAGAACTTTTCAGTCAAGTCGCAGGTAAGACCTCTACTAGAATTCATTTCTTCAAGTGTATGAGCAGCCAACACAGTACAGTGGACAGCCTGCTACTGCTCCTTCTGTCCTCTCCTCCCAAGGCCTGTTTGGTTTGGGTTTCTTCTTCATTTGCTTCCTAAACCAGAGGAGAGCGAGCTCGGGCAGCAGCGTAGTGGCCGTGTGTCCCTCCTCTGCACCTGCCATTGCCACACAAGTGAAAGGGGCTGGTGGCTTTT